CCAACAGCCCTCCCTCAAAGTTACTTAACCTTGTACGCGTGTGCACAATCGGGGTTTCAGTTCTCAGTTTTGACACATTTTAAGGGGCTCTCGTGGTCGAGAGGTTACCGTGTTCGCCTCTAATACGATAGGTCTCGGATTCGAATTCGAACGGCGACGGAAAACTTTCTTCCCTAAAATGTTTTCCTTTCACCTCCTGTCCTGCTCTCTGACTCTCTAACAATGTTCTGTCGTCTCCTTTCGTCTCCACGTTCTGCCCCTACCCACTCACCTCACCTCATTTGCACCCTCCTCTGGGCTCCTGACTCTTTCTGCAGCCTTTCTACTGCTACTCCTTGGCTCCTTCTTTTTGCTGTCTTTCAGTCGCACCCATGATCGTATGGTATGTAAGATCTAACATTTAACCTTTTCAGATGAGGGCAGAAATTTCGGAGGTGTCCCGGGTGCTTGTTCTGCCCGTTAAAGATCCTTCGCTGGTCATAAAATTGATAAGAGTAAGCTTCAGCCGCCATTCGAGCAAAACTCAAAATTCCTTCCAGACTGAACACGTTTAAGGTGTCCAGTGCGCTCATATTATGATCGTATGCGATTGCTAGGGCCGTAAAACACCTACCAAAGAAAAAAATGACACATTTTGGTCGATAGGACATCATGTGCAACTTACTTCAATAACTTAGTGCCCGCCTGGCTTTAGTACGACAACTCGAACAATCATACCGAATTGCTTTCTTTCGCATGTACAGTAACATTGCGACTAATTTACGGCCGTTTGGCTGCCGCAATATCTTTGGATATTGTCAAATAAAATAAAGAAAATCACACATGTCACAAACATAGACAATCCACATATTATCATAATTCATTGCTGGTCCCTAATGTGCAGAGCCCTGTTCACGAGCTAGGGTAGTCGTAGGACACACTCCACTCAGGGGATCTCGTGGCCTAGAGGTTAAGGTGTTCGCCTCTCATTCAAAGGTCCAGGGTTCGAATCGGGGTCGCGACGGGAAAATTTTCTTTTCTAAAATTGTTTCCTTTCAACTCTTTCCCTGCTCTCTAGCAATGTTCTGTAGTCTGCTTTCGTCTGTGCTTCCTTCCCTCACCCCCTCCCCTCCTTTACCCCTCCTCCGGGCTCCTGAGTCTTTCTGCAGTCTTCTACTGCTTCTCTTTGGATCCTTGTCACTGCTGTCTTTCAGCCACACCCCTGATCTTCTGGTCGTGTGCACGCTGTGCACGTCAAAGACTCCTTGGTGGTCTAAAATCGATTAGAGTAGGCTTCGACCACCACCAGAGCAAAATTCAAAAACCCTACCAACAGAAAATGTTTAGTGTGTCCTGCGTGCTCATGTGACCTTATGCAGATGCGAGTGCCGTAAAACACAAAAAAACCCCAAAAAACAAAACAAACCACTCCATTCATATTACCTTATGCACTTACAAGCGTCGTAAAACACCTACTACAACAAAACAAAAAAACCCACTCCACTGCCTACTTTTTTTCACTCTGCTTTTTTTTGCTTCATTTTGTTTTGTTTTGATTTGTTTGGTTCTTTTTGATGGGCTGTTGGTTTGTCTGAACGAACAAAGATAGCACGACAATTTAAAAAGCTCGGAAAACACAAAGCCAAGCTCTTTCCTATAATCATAACTTCAGCACCCTTGGAGAGGTTTGAACATTTCACTGAAGTTACTACTTTGATCTTGTTCCAAATTCAGTGAAATGGTGCGCACCATAGGGAATCAGAATTAAGGCAGATAGTACGTTGATGTGTTTCAATGCAATGCACAAGTCTGCTATCAAACGACTACCAGCTTTGGTTTATTTTGGTTAAAGAAGTTTAATAGTCTGGCAGATTTAAGAAATTGCAAGGAAATAAAAGCAAAAGAAACACAATGTAATGCAGTTGATAGAGTAAATCATCGTATCTAAAATACTCAAAATGTACATTTATGTATGAATGGGAAAGTTTTTAAAAATTTTCATTGAAAACGCCAGCTCCGTTTCCTCTTGCGGAGGCTCGATTTGCAGTGTTTTGGAAGAAACGTTAAAGGAACTGATACAAGTAAATAAATTACTTTATCTATGGTCTGAAATTGCTGCATTAGAGCTGGTCTACCCAGTAGACTGTGTTATTTTAGCTGTATTTTTGTCTTTTTATTTGAGTTTTGTTTTTTTCTGTTTTACTTTTTCGTATCTGGCTTCAGTACATGGATATGATTGATATCTTTAAACGCTTCCTTAAAGCCGAACGTACAGGTGACTGGTGGTTACATTTATAATCCTCGCAAGACATGCTCCCCTTCCCTGCTGCAGCTGCTGGGCACTTACAGTACTCCAAGTCGGTCCATATCTACCTTCAGAAGATGAAACAGCTTGAAGAACAGCACCCATCCGTTTCCAATGCCTCCTCGTGTGGCTTTCACGTTCTGAGTCGAAGTGATCGCTTCTGGGCTGGACTGAGTACTGATCTCGTGATTGAGCAAGTCTTAATGAAAAACCTGCTGTAGGACAAACGCGTGGTAGAGGCATGGGAGTACTCATAGAACACAGTTGCTCATGTCCATGCCAGCTTGTGCTGATATATGCAATGAAATGAAGCGGGTTACTGGTACAGAATTAAATACAAATCAACAACATATTGAAGTCAGTGGAGCCAGACAAACGAGAGATGATAAAGATATGAGACTGCTCCTCTGTTTCCTAAAAGATCGTAACCTCTTTGCCAGTTACCAGACATTACAGAAAATGCATAGGATTGACAGCTCACTCCACAGTTAATGCCGACACTGCAAAAGATGTTGGCAAGGCTATTTTGCAGACCATGCAGGGCAAACCTTTGAAGGACTCCACCTTCAAAAGAAAAGACCAAGTTGTTAGCAAGGACACCAAAATCACTGCCAAAATGGAGGTTGAAATCATACAAGTCAATCCTCAAGTTCTCTTTCAGCGGATGATTACAGCAGCAAATTAACGCTGACGATTACGATCTCCCATCTGTGTTGAAGTATGAACTGACGACTCCACCACCATCTCCCTTTGAACCACCAGGATTGATGAGAGAGGCACACTAATCCAAGCTGGCTGATTCAATGAGAGACCTTTTCAAAGATGATCCACAATCGAAAGATGAGTACATGGACATGGTGACCATATTGGACCGGGGTTCGCATCTTCACAAAATCCCCGTGAGGAAGGAAGAGCCGGTTTCCGTAATTTGAAATATGCTGAATATGTTAACAGGAAATATTCTAAGCTCATCGTTCTCTGTGTCTGTGTGTGTGTGTGTGTGTGTGTGTGTGTGTGTGTGTGTGTATGTGTGTGTGTGTATGAGTGTGTGTGTGTGTGTGTATGTGTGTGTGTGTATGTGTGTGTGTGTGTGTGTGTGTGTGTGTGTGTGTGTGTGTGTGTGTGTGTGCATTAATGTATTGCAGGAAAGGAAGTAGTAAGAAAGCTTTTTGAAAAAAATGGGTATTCCAATGTAAAGCGCACTGAGCTACTTTTTTGGGAAATGCGCTATATAAATGTTATATATTATTTTATTATTAAATCGCCTGTGGGACTCTCGTGGCCTAGAGGTTAAGGTGTTGGCCTCTCATTCAAAGGTCCCGGGTTCGAATCCGGGTAGTGACCGAACAATTTTCTTATCTAAATTTGTCTCCTTTCACCTCCTTTCCTGCTCTCTAACAATGTTCTGTCGTCTGCTTTCGTCTGCTCTTTCTGCCCCCACTCCCTCATCTCCTTTGCCCCCTCCTCTGGGCTCCTGATTCTTTCTATAGCCATTTTACTGCTACTCCTTGGCGTCTTCATTCTGCTGTCTTTCAGCCACACCCTTGATCTTCTGGTAGGAAAGATCTACACCTAGCCTTATCGGACATAGGCGAAAAATCTCGGAGGGCCCGTGTGCAAGTTGCGCACGTTAAAGATCCCTTGGTGGTCTAAAATCGATAAGAGTAGGCTTGGGCTGCCACCCGGCAAAATTCAAAATTTCCTACCAACTGAAAAAGTTTAATGTGTTTAATGTTTATTGCGCTCATATGACCTTATGCAGTTGCAAGCGCCGTAAAACACTTACAAAAACAAACAAAAATTGCCTGTGCTGTGTGTTGGTCTCGTAATCATAACACACTGGGATAAAAATAGGTTTACATAGTCTGACGTCGGTGGACGTGGATCTTTTTGAGTCGGTTCTACACCATGCAAAAACTTCGAAAATTAGTCCGGCTTGGAGGAAGTGATCTTATTTTGTTGGACACATAGACTAACGGAAGGAATGAAAGGCCGACATATTATGAGGGGAAAAAATGTGTGTGTGTGTGGGGGGTGGGGGGGTGGTGGGGGTATGTTAAAACAAAAACCTTCCGCGCAAACGATGTTAGAACCTCTTATAATGCATATCGTCTACTGGCAAGGAAGTTGCATCTCTCGGATGACCTTAATTGACAGGGTTGAAGCACCCCCTCCCCTAGCAGCATTTAATCAGTTAATGAAATCATTTTGATACGGGTGAATACAACGACAATAAATCAGCTGGGGAAAATATGAAAATCACAATATACTAGCAAAATACGTGATCGCGGTTATTTTTGTATCTTTTTTGTTTGTTTTTGTTTCTGGGTTTGTTTGTCTTTTGTTGTTTTGCTTGTGTTTTTGTTCCTGCTCCGCGGGAGATGGTTATTTTTGTTTGTCTTTTGTTTTGTTTTGTTTTGTTTGATTGTTAATCTTTGTCGTTTGCTTGTTTTTGATTCTTAGAATCTTGTCATGATAATCACTTTGACTTTTTTTGCCACTGCAGCGAAATGTGGAGCTAATCTGTCAGGTTGACCTTCTTCACGGTGACCTTCGCTGCATGGAACAGTCCACGCAGATCATGCAGTTGAACCTGGAGAGAATGCAAGGGGAGCTGAAGGAGAACGAGGAGAATACGTGAGCCGCGAGGCAAATGATAATAATAATAATAATAACAATAATAAATTACATTTATGTAGCGCTCAACCCCATTTAAAGTACACAGGCTCTCAGCGCTTTACAATACTGTCCGATGTATAACAGTGAGATAAAACGTTTTGTTCGGACTTTAAGAAAGAAAATCCATTCAAACATTCATTTTATTCATTTAAAAACAGAAAAGACTCCAGCTGATATTTAAATGAATCAAAAGTTTTGATCTCTCAATACTTGGGAAAGCATTCCAGATCTTCGGGCCTTAATATTCAAATGCCCTTTCACCCATTATTTTAAGTTTCATAGATGGTAAAAGGAATTTCTGTTTCTTCACCTGATGACCTTACACGGCGAGTGGGAAAGTGTAGTCTTAATAGATTTGATCAATATGATGTGCGCATTATCAGTCGAGCAATTGTGGCAGAGGATGGTCAACTTGTACACAGTTTGTTTTTTTCTCAACAGGACGCCAATGCAGTTTCAGTAAAAGAAGTTTATCGGAGTCTCGCTTTCTTTTCCGCAAAACTAAACGTGCAGCATTGTTTTGGTCAGTTTGAACACTTTTAATATATGATATTCGTGATAACAAAGAGTTACAATAATCGAGTTTTTATGAAACTAAGCTAGTTACTAGTAAAGCAGCATACTTAGTATTGATTAGATGACTTTTTTTCCCCTTTTTAGCAGTTATAACATCAAAGAACGAGGGAGTCACGTGATAGATGATTAGGCAGTAATAACGTCAAAGAACGAGAGAGAACTGACATCTATGGTGTAGCAGTTAGGCGCTTAGTCGTTGCACACAGGTCTGATTTTGAATCTCGAGTGCGAAAAAAACTTGTCAAGTATCTCATTCTGTCTACTTGGATGTTGTATCCCTCTCAGCCTGGGTTGGCCCTGACAGACAGGAAGGAAGCCCGCCTCCTGAATTATCTAAATTATGTCTATGGGGGCGTAAAACACCTCCATTAGTACGAAAGAAACACGTGATAGATAAATGGGCAATTATCATGTCCGAGAACGAGGGAGTCATGGTACAGATTATTGGGGGTATGATTAGATGATTGAGAAAGAGTAAAGTCACACAGTGAAATGCAAACGTAATTGTCATTGTTTTGCTGTTTCACGTCCATATAAACAGAATTTGGATCATTGGGATCTAAACCTTCCCAGCCCGTTGTGGCCCAAAAAGGAAACAGTCAGCTGGAAAAATTATGTTACTCAACTACATGGCCAGCCTCAAGCGAAATCTTCCAATGTAATCTTCGTTCATTGTATTTGACAAGCCTTCATTAAATTCGATTTGGTGCCAATAGTTACTTTTGTGAATATAGCTTCTTAAACTCACTACCCCTTCATATAGCCTCGTTGTGTATCGCGACCCAAAAATAAAACAAGAGGTTTTAGTTTTATTTAAGTAAAAAAAAACCCATCGTGACTCAACAATGGACAAGATTTTACTATAGTTAAAAATAAAACGTCAAGTGCCACTTTTTAGTCATACCTTTTAAAAATTCCATAAGAATATTAATCAGCACCTGGGTAATAAAATAGTGAGAACAAATTAAAGGCAACAGAAATCTGGTTTCGTGGCTGACTTTAGAATTTCGTGGAAGGAAAATAATGTTGAAAGAAGTCCATGCGGCCCATGCATTAATAAGAACTAATGAAAGAAACAAAAACATTATATGGGACACTTGAATCGACATAATAGGTTTGAACATCTTGCTCTCACTGGATAAATAGAAAGAAAAAGATGCAAAAGTAGACCGAAAACAACTTACGTAGAAAACGTGAACAGTGGGTGGAGGGGAATATCTTTTCCAGCACTTCATTTTGATAATATATACAAAATACGATTATTTTCAAACACAGCTAACAATAACACACTCTCTATTTACCTAGTATAAACGAAGGGGAAAGAAATATACTTGTTTTGAAAGCAAAAACATGCTAAGGAGTGCTCAGTATGCCATTCTAGCGGTCCAGAACAAGAGCCAGTAAATGTTTTTTAAGGGCAATAGCACCCAAACACTCAAACAAAAGATACACCAGCAACGTTTGCTATTTCTAAGCCCAAATATAATGCATGAATTGATTGTGTACAGTAAATGAAGGGAAAAGACAAAAGAGAATTGCATGGACAAGAATGGATATTGTAGAATCAGATGGACTGATTGATACTCGTGTTCAGAAACAGATTCAGTCAACCAGTGTGATTTGATCATATCTGATATAATCCAAGTCCAAAACAATGCAGAGGGGAAAGCTGTTGTACTTATAGAGCGCTTGGAGAATAATCTGACCACTAAAAGGCAAGTTTCTCTCAAAGGCCTGGTCCTTTTCTCAGTATTGATGGTCAGCTATTTCCATTTTAGAAACGGTTCTTCTTCGCTTAGTATATACCTGTCAAAATATTAAGTTTATGAAGCAGGCAAATCTAACTACCGCAATATGCACCTGGCTTGCACAGCCATAACTTGGAAAAGGAAGAAACGTTTGCTCTTAATTACCTACATCACTTAACCACTGACTATTCCGGCTGAGATCTTCAAGGCAGCAGGCACTTAAGCCCTAAAACCCTTCCATGACATCCTGCTACAGGTCTGTGAAGAAGAGCAAATGTCAATGCCTGCTCATTGTTGCGTTGTACAAAAACAGAGGTAGTAAAGAGGACTGTGGAAACTACAGGGGCATCTCCTTTCTCTCCATAGCGGGGAAATTTGCAAGGGTCATCCATAAGGTACACCACGGCAGCAGCCAACAGCCAAAGAAGTCGTTTTTTATATCCAAAACCGATTTTTCGATTTTTAGTAGAGCAACATCTGCTTTATCGATTGGAAATATTTTCAAGTGTCTAAACCATCTATGAAATGCTTACATGTGCCATGTTTTTAAACATTGTGTTATAGTAGACCAGTATGAATCGGATTCTTTTAAAGTTTCCTCAAAACTATGACTTTTCTTAGGGGGGTGGGTCACCTGTGCAGAGATATTTCTGAAAGTACACGTCACAACTCAATCCTGCTTAGCATGACTGTTTATAGATAATATGTTTGCGATGTACTAAAAGATTATTGTGATATTGTTATAAATTTTCTGTGAATGTAAAAAAGATTGACAGTATCACTCTGATTTGTGATCATTTTTTTTTGTCCTAGTATCGTATACGACACTAAAAGGGCTGTTACAAGAAAATAATGAGACTTAGGAAAATAAATCTGTCGTACGTTGCAGGTTGTATAATATACACAAACTCTGTGTGAAAATATCAAGGCTGTATCAATTCAATCTTTTTCAGAATCCCTGCACACAATTTGCTCGAATGTTGATCTATCGAAACCATTGCATCTAAAAAAAAAAAAAATTGACAGTGATACCATACAGTGGTAGTGTGTTTCTGTTTCTTGACCCATATAGGTTATTGGGAAACCCAGTATACTTAATTTAGAGCCCAAACAAAAATTTTCACTTCAGTTGTACCTAGTTTCTCTTAACAGACTGATCATCATCTCAGAACAGATCCTATTCGAGGCTCAGTGTGGCTTCAGCTCAGGGAGAAGCACTGTGGGCGTAATCTTTGCTATGAGACTAATTCAAGGAACATGCAGAGAACAGAATTGGCCTCTTTATTCAGTCTTTATTGATTATTGACCGTACCAAGGCTTTCAACACAGTCAACAAAGAAGCCCTGTGGACCGTCCTAGAACGGATTAGCTGCCCTCCCAAATTCCTAAAGATCATCCAGCTCCTCCACTCAGGCATGAGGGCGTCAAATATAGCCGTTTCATCGCACCTGTCCTCTTCAAGATCTTCTTCACCGCTATGCTTTCCCACGCCTGCAAGGATCCTGACTAGGGAATATACCTAAATTACCGTCTGGATGGCTCCCTCTTTGATCTACATCGCCTTCAAGCCAAGACAAAAGCAGCACAAAACCCCTTCAAAAGGCGCTCTTCGCCGATGACTGCTCTTTGAATGCTCACTCTGAAGTGGACTTGCAAACAATGCTCAATCACTTCGCAGAAGCCTCAAAACTTTTGGGACTTGCAATAAGTAAGCATCAGGAAACCTGCAGTTCTTCACCAGCCTACACCATAAACTAACCCACTGTCTAAAAACATCACTATCAATAGCAACAGCATGAAGAACACCAAGAACTTTAAATATCTTTGAGGTATCACCTCTGCAGACAGCTCCATTGGTCAGGAAATTGATTCACGAAGAACAAGGTACTAAACCAGCACAAGGTCTGGCTTTCAACAAAAATCAAAGTGTACAATGTTGTTGTGCTCTCTTCCCTCCTCTACAGGAAGCACATCAACAAATTAGAGCTGTTCCACCAAAGGGCTTTCCGCAACATACTTGGCATCTGGTGGCAAGACGGCATCACCAAAATTGAGATGGGTTGGTCATGTCATCCGCATGGAAGATCACCGAAAGCCTGAACAACTGCTGTACAGCGACATCCCAAGTGGCAAGACATCTCGGGAGGCCAAAAAACATTCAAAGACGCAATAAAGGCAAACCTCCAGCTTATACATGTTACCCCCAAAGAACTCGAAAGAACTACCATCGAAAGGAACACCTGGTGAAGAGCCGTCTTTCTTGCCAGCAGAAACAGAGATATCAGCTACAGGGAGAAGCTGGCTATCAGAAGAGAGATGAGATATAATCCAACCACCCCAACCACGACATTCAAGTGTCCCCACTGCAACAGACATTGTACATCAAAGATTGGACTGCACAGCTACATGTACGTCCACGGATGAGCGGCAGGATTTCATCGTCATCATCGGCAACGAAGGACTTCCTTCATTCATAGAGTACTAGAACAGCACAAAACCTCTCTTGTCTTTTCACCAATATGTCTGTCTGTTCATTCAAGTCTGTACATTTGTTTACCCATGTGTGTTTGTCCAATGGCCATATCTTGGCCTGTTTGTCTTTGTTTTTGTTCGTTGTTTTTTTTGTACGTTTTTCAGTCCATGCACTCAAAACACATTTTAGTTAGAACAGCGACGGTGTGTGTGGCAGGACTTCATATTACCTTGCACCTAACTTTTAAAAACTCATTCTGACAAACAGGAAAACATTTTTTCTCTATGCCAAGTGAGACCCCAAAAATGGGTCGGGACTTATTTTGCTATGTAACAGGTGTGGTTCATTTTTGGTTGACAACGTACAAGTTGCTCGCAAATATTGACATACTGGGAAGGTCAAGGCCGACTTGGGCTGAATGAGTTATACCTTCCAAGAAGCAAAAGTATCGAGGCTCTTTGTCTCCTTGCAAACTTGATTTATATAATATAACTCAACTTAAATCTCACCTCCAGTCTGTGGGAGAGCCACTGGGAATAACAGAAAAATAATAAACTGTATATTATAAAACCCAAACTGGAACAGCAAAATCCTTCGGACCTCTCTAGAAGAGACGAAGTCATTTTTACTCGATTGCGCATCGGACACACGGCCCTGACCCACAAATACCTCCTACAGGGAGATGAGAAGCCGTTCTGTGTCGGATGCGACACAGATTTTACCCTTAGCCACATCTTAACCGAATGTCTAGACTTTGGAGAGATCCGAAGGAAATATTATAAATGCAAGAAATTGCAAGACATTTTTCCGTCGTTGGTCCCAGCAGAATTTTGAATTTTATGAAGGCCATTGGCTTATATTGCAAAATATAAAGTGAAATTGCGCTATTCAAAATGTTTATGCTAACTAGAAAATTGTTTTCGATTGGAAAAAAAAATTAAAATATTTACACTGATTTTAAAACATTTTAACATTTTAAGATTTAACTACTGACCCGAGCCAGCCATAGAGTAAACTGTTGTGAACAAAACAACTTGTCTTTCGCTCGCTCATATGACCTTATGCAGTTGCGAGCGCCGTAAAACCCTATACTACTAACTAACTAAGCTTAAATCTTTTACAGATTTACTATTACTGCAATAATCAGATAAATTCCTAATGCTCTGTTTGCAGATCAGATCTCAAGCAATGCCAAGATACAGCCATGGAACGGGAAGGGCGTCTCAACTTTCTAGAATATTCCCTGCATCATCTGCAGAGTGAAGCTAAAGAAAAACAGAAACAACATGAAGAGGCGCTACAGGTGTGCTTTTTACGTCTTTATATTTACACTTACGCTTTTAGCATGTAGTAAAGAAAGTCCCTTTGTATTGATTATTGAAGATGTTGATAACAATAATAGTGCTGTAAAACATTCGTGGCACAACTTATTGTCAAATAGTTCCTTAACACTCAGACTTAAAGTCCCCAGCATTTCCACTATAACCTGTATCAATTTGTCATATTAGATCAACAATATTGTAAACACATGTTAGCTGTATTCTAGAAATCTCCTTAATAATAATATGCTTATTTAAAATCCCAGAGGTTGGTTTCTTCTGATTTTAAAAGGTTTACAGCTGGCACAATATTGCTTTTAAAAATAATTCCGTCATTTTTTTTCTAATCTGGACAATATACTTATTGAACACCAGTTTGGAGAACCTTTAGTGCAAACACAGGTTCTCTATAAAATCAATTTTTTGTAACAAGTTCTCCCAATAAAAAGTGTCTTTGTTTAGCAGGCTTTAGTCGCATGAAAGAATTGTGTGAGAGAAGTTGGAAGTGTGTGAACAATCCAATTTTCCCGCGTGACAGACCTCTATTTTATTTTCTTTAGATCAAATTTACACTTAAGAAATGCAAATTCCACTTACCAAGATCATATGCCACATAGACGGTTCAAATATACAACAGGAAATTCTAGTGTACGGTCGTGCTCTAGCAAGTTCAAATGTAAAAAGAGCAAAACACGACAGGAAGTTCAAATGTGACATGGCAAAAACAAATATCCTCCAAACAGACTACTCATTTTTTATGAGCTCAAACTGACAACAAACATGAGCAGTATCCTTTTTGGCTGAATGTTGATCAACATGAAGAAACTCGATGATGCTCCTGCAGAAAGAAATTCTGATTAAACCTAAGCAACCAAGCATCGATATTGCTGCATGGCTGATACAGAACATTTGGCGGTATGAATTATATGTCTTCATCGATGTGGCTGGTACCAACCTGTTGACAAAGAGAAACCGAGGAAGAATACGGCGCAGTCAGTGCACTGTTCGAGTAGTGGCGGGTCGAAGGGAACCAAACCCCACGATGACTTAACTTGCTGTCAGTGCCGAGGTTGGCCTGGTCTTTCACGACTTTCAAGAAGAAGGAATGGCAGCTTTCATTTCAACCTATCCCTCAAAGAAACTGTTCCAACAATTTCGCCAATGAAGTATGCTTCGTTCACACAGGCAAACTAATATAAATGCCAACCAATCAAATAGATTTGAGGTGAAATACTTTGCCCCTTACACACAAGTTCTTAACATCTGTGAGAATGCTTCTTAATTTGAAAATACGATTAGAAACAGAGGCTCTTCGAAGCAAGAGACCAAAAGCTCACTCAGCAAACTCATCAAAAAGTAATGATAAAACTTGCCCATTTGATGGAAGAAAAACTCCAAGCCGTAACTATTGTGAAAATTGCTGCTGTCTTCTGATAATTCAAGCCTTTAACTATCCCGCAACGTTTTGTAGTGCAATAATAATAAAACGTAAATAAAAGTATATTTGGCCTTACATTTCATCAAATTCAAATTACTTCTCTATATACCAGCAATGTGTTGATTTTTCACCTAACATTTTTTTCTGTTCCTCTAGGAGCATGTTTATTCATTTATTCATCAACTTATTGTTTTGCTACAAACTTCTTTCTTGTTATACTTCGTATCGTGATGAACCTCATGTTTGTAGCCTCTTTATTCTCCAGTTCAAGAGTCTTCTTTGCATATAAGTCTTAAATTTGAAAGACCAAGAGAATCTAAAAATCCATTCATAAAGGTCACCTCAAACTAACGTTCAGAAACGTTTTCTTTTATTTTAGCCTAAATCGGGTTAAAAAATGGAGGATTTACAGAAAACATCTTAAACAATTGAAAAGTTAACATATTTTCCTCAGTACATCACTTGTACGTACGCCTAAAGCCCGCCACACACTACCCAGTTAAAAGGGTGCGCACGTCTTGAGATGGCTTCAAGACCAACTGAACGCGATCTCAAGATGATCTCACGATGATCTATTGACCATCTTGAGACCAAAATCCGGATTGTTCTGTCGAAAATCTCAACAGACCGTGAGATCGCTTGAATTCAGAACGAGCTTGAAAACTATCTGTCGGATCGCAGATCAGGGTACTCGACGCTAAAAGTAAAAGGATGCCAAAGTCAATATTTTGCTAATCTAACTTTAGAATCTTGACCAGCGTCAAGTTCTAGTGGGATTTGATACGAAACAATGTTTTCAGACGTTTGATGTAGAAATGTTTATAAAAACTATGCTTTGCGTAAGCCAGCAAGCCAGAGAGATCTAGACTGAATTCATACAGGGATACAAAGAGTATGAGCGTTCGTGGAAAATAAAATCTAAAGACTATTACAATCGTATTGTAAGAGACCGCTTATACAGCAATGTAGTTTAATGTGTGCAAAGTTCTCACAAGAATGTTTGAATAAAAAGAATCATAACTTAACGGGAGGAGTGACCCTCAAAATCCGTTTTCTGTTTGTTGCCCGAGATCAAATGTAAGTACACATATACGTTAGGCATAGAAAATCTCTGGATACGTACTTTTAATTTTGCATAGTTAAAACGGTTGCTATGCAAACTGCCGCCATCTTAAAAATGAAAAAAGGATTTCTAACTTTTTAAGCTTTCTTTTTTGTAAGGCAGCGTGGTGGAATCAGGCTCTCGTCAATTTTTAGGCATGAAGAGTTATTGGTATCATCTTAAAGCTTGTTCATTTGTCTTTATTTGAATTTTTTTTAAAACCCATTTATCTTGAATACAAGTCGAAATATTTGCAAAAGTAGGAGGTGGGGGTCACCTTTTTCAGAGGTAAAATTAGTAAGAAAATGGCCGCCAAAGATTAGTTATTTCCTTAGCTTAACAGTCCATGATAATTGGGAATTTACATTTTTTGTACCTTTAATTAACGTTTTTCAGAAAAATCCACACTGAAATGAATTCTTTTATGGGCATCAAAGGTGTTAAGCCAAAAAATAAAAATTTGATAAAAATTCAAAAAACCGGCGGAAAAATGGAAGTTTCTTCACTTTGATTATTTTGACGAGAGCCTGATTCCACCACGTTGCCTCACATTTATTAACCAAATTTGACAAAATTAGGTGTGTGTATAGATCTACCTGAACCTTTCCCTTTTAGCGAGTTATTTTTTAATGTGTAAAGGAAAAGTACAGAGAGAATTTTCCAAATATATATCTTCTTATACAATAAACCTATTCTAAATTTTGGTTGCGTAACTGCATGCCAATGGAAAAGTGTTATTTTGTTGCTAATACCTCTGCAGCCTTGTCATCAACGTTTCCTGAAAGTTTTATGTCAACAGGATGGAACAAAGGAAGGAATAGGGGGGGGGGGGGGGCTGGTAAAAATAGCACTTTGAGAATAACGACAATTATGGTGAAAATTCACTACATTTTAAAAGACACCATGTTTTCAAAGGCAATTTACGACGAGACTAAATACTTTCTCATTTGCCTCCTTGTTATGTTTAGATAAAAAAGTGGTTGATCTTAAAAAATCAGCCAGCATTTCATTTTACTACTACTACTACTACTACTACTACTACTACTACTACTACGACTACGACTACTACTACGACTACAACTACTACTACTACTACTACTACTGCTACTACTACTACTACTACTACTACTACTACTACTACTACTACTACTACTACTACTACTACTACTACTCCTACTACTACTACTACTGCTGCTGCTGCTGCTGCGCTGCCACTACTACTACTACTACTACCACTACTACTACTACTACTACTACTACTACTACTACTACTACTACTACTACTACTACTACTACTACTACTCCTTCTACTGCTACTCCCAGTGGGACCCATTTCTTCGTCTGTAGGAGGTCCAACCCCTTCGAAGACGAGGTGTCGCACACAGACCCCTACCCTCTGAGACCCGGATGCGACACCTACTCGTACTTTGGTGTATCTTCCTCTTCTCCCTCCTTCTTTCCGTCTCCTTCTATTTTCTCTCTTACCGCTGACCTCATGTGCAGCAATACGAGAGGTCACCCATCCAACAGAGTGGGCGCCTCGTTGACTGTGAGGTGCAACCCGTGCGGAGGGAAACCGGGTACCTGGTGGTTGAGGTGAGATCAGTGTACGGACTGTCCCTCGCCAACACACCTCTTTGGCCCAGGTTTTGCTCTAAGACGGGAGGATGGCACGGCCCATGCCACTCAATCGGTTGAGAGCTGAAACTCCATCAAGCCCTAGTCAATCTTGAAGAGGCTGTTTTGTACTTTCTCGTGAAGAGTATAGCTCCGGGGTAGCCCTGGCACAGCTCCGGTTATCCGAGCAATGTGTCCCCTTGTTGGGCTCGGTGGCGGGCGGGGAGCCCCGGAGTCGAATCAAATATTAAATTCATATGGAACGAAAAACTTCAAAAGACCCTTCCCCAGCTCCCAACGTTCATAAAAATTCTCGGCTCGCGGAAGCGGGTGCGGCCGCCGAGCCGAGCACAAATTCTAAATACGGCAAAATAACCTTTACCGATGCCTCCTTCCTCCCTCCTCCCAAGGAGCTTCCGAGGCAACCGTGCATGGCCATCTTCAGTTCAAAAGACGCACAGAGAAAGATTACCGATCTGAACCTCTTTAAGACAGGAGGTGCACTACGGAAAGTTCTGGGATACATCCCCACATATGTGTAGAAACTTTCCTGTGGTGCACTTCTTGTCAAGTGCGCAACTGAGGTCGAAGTGACCAAACTCCTGGATATCACGACCTCCAGCGCCATTCGATGTAAGTCCGAACGTTATCAGAAATGTAACCGCTCGAAGGGCGTCGTCCGCAGCCGTGAGCTGAAAGGCTGCTATATGAAAGAAATTGTGGAGCACTGTGAGGGTGTGGTCGAAGCCCGCCGGATTACTCTTTGGCCGGGG